GATTAAAAAAAATGTCCATCGATAACTTAAAGTTGTGATACACAATGGATAGAGGCGTTGCCTGTGGGCATTCTATCATATATGTATGTATGTGCTATTTTTACCGTTATATACTTTTTGTCTACTCGGTTATTCCATGGGGAATTCATGCTTTATTTAAACTGAAAAAATTTAATTACTAGACCATTTTAAATAATTAGTGTGTACTCCAGTTTTGTTTTGTAGAAGTTTCGTTAGTATACACTTCAGTTTTTACACATTGAATATATCTGCATATCTATATATTTACGCGTATCTATTTACTTTTATTTATGTACAAGTCTACAAAATCTTATTACTTATAAAGCGATTTTTAATCTTCGTTGCTTAACACATATTTTTTCAATTACTTCTTGTGTTGTAATCGGTGCATCATTATGTACCGCTAACATCTTTAAACCATTCAGCCGCTGCTTAATTGTATAAAAAGAAGGAACAAATAATATAGCATATTCAACAATTGAGTAGTCCATTTGCAAAGTGCGCTATGTAAACTTTTTTTCGATTTTTAGTTTTTGGTGGGTTTCATGTACACTAACAGCAGAGTGAAACATTTTTCTATATTCTGAAAAAAATAGCATGAAATGTTAACTACTCTTGCAAAAGTCGCTATAATACTTATTTATACACTTTCAAAAGTCTCCTCTTCGTAGGAACTTAGAAAACTGCAACTACTAATATAAAAATTGTTAACTTTGATAAGTAATTAGATACTATTAAATTGGATTACAAAAATACAAAATCTGGGTTAAATTTCTAGATTGAATCTTCTATAATCGATATCCGGAATCCGGCCGGATATTAGCCAGTATCCAGTATAACCGGATAACCAAAAAACGGCCGGATGGGCCGGATTCCGGATATCTACCGGTTACCCGGCACATCCCTAGTTGCTACCAAGGCTGTCCGGGTTCAATCCCCATCAGACGCAGCATGAAATTTAAGATTTTTTATTTTTTATTTTTGATTATGACAATGTTTGGATTTAAGATTTAAATCGAACTGTTTAAATTCTAAACCCAACATATGTGCTCTCTTTTTTTTTTTTAACTTGGAAGGTTTGTATTTGAAACTGAGTTTAGTTTGGTCATATATGTAGCCCAAAAAGTTTAAAATTTAAACCGAAATTTTTATCCGTGTAGTGGAAGAGGTCGCAAAAAAGAAGCAAACCAATCTTCCTAGAGCAGAGAAGGCGAAAAGCTAAAAAAAGCTAGCTATGTAAAAGTTACTGTTTCAAAACTTGCAATATTAAATTTTTAAATATAAAATCTGCAAATCAACCATACCATCAATAAAAAAAAGATACAGTTCGGATGTTACTTGTTGTCGTAGACGTTTTTTTTTTAAATTTATGGCTTACTTTTATAAAATCACATAACGCTGTTTGCAAGTGGACTACTCATATATTCATTAAAAGATAATTTGTGATCCGTCTGAAATAATAAAAAATTTAAATCAGAAGGATAAAATAGTATTGTGTTATTAATTCAAAAGTAAATAATTGTAGTTCAATGACGAAGGGGGGGATCTATCCCCCCAAATCGCCCTCCCCCCCTGGCTACGCCACTGGTTCGTACCGATGACTTTTTAATACTTTGACTTGAATCTTTTACATTCATACATTTTTTTATATTACCAAAGCTTGAAATATGGTTTCTTAGAATCAACAGCAAAAGAAAAGAAATTACAAAAACAACAACGTAAATAGTAAGATTCTTCAACAATCTTATACATTTGATTTTCATTCAATACGAAGCATTTAAAAAATATATAAACATACTTGTCACGTCGCCTTTTGCTTTAATAACATCTTTTCCCCTTATTTCCCATTAACATTAGTGAAAACCCTGTAGGGAAACGAACTAGTGCGGAACTGGTTCGGTTCTAGTGCGTTTGGAACCATGCATGCTAGCGACTGGCGAATTTAACATTGCGATGTCCTAGGAAGTGTCAATTGTCCCCCGTTGCATCCCTTTGGCTCTAGTTCCGAACAAGTTCTAAATTCGACAGATAAGATCTAGTTCGTTTTGCATCCCTTTTTCTATAGTTCCGAACCAGTTCCAAATTCGACAGATGAGATCTAGTTCGTTCTGCATCCCCTTTTCTTTAGTTCCAAACCAGTTCCTAATTCGACAGATGAGATCTAGTTCGATCTGCATCCATTTTTTATATGTAGTTCCCAACCTGTTATAAATTCGTCACCTTAGATCTACATTTCTAATCAGGCTTGTCGAAACATTTCCCTTCTATATTAAATACGATCGGTTGAAGGAAGGACAATACAATCACAAATGTTTAAACGCATTTATTAAAAATTTATAAACCACATTAGTAGTAGTAGTAGTATTAAACTTAAGTAGTAAGTAAAAAACAAAAGTGCGTTCTGCTTAAAAGTAAAAATATTAGTTCACTTTGTCTTACTTGTCTAAATTTAAGCATATTGATTTTTAAGTAAATTCAGTTCTTTTTAAGCTTATATGTATATGAAGTACTTCGAAAGTTTTTGTCGTACTTAACTTAAATAAGATATACAGTCAGTCAATAAAGTTTAGGTACAGTGAAGTTTTTACAATACCGGCAACTATTTTTTAAATATTTTATTTTTCCCTAATTTTTTATAAAAATATGGTTAATTCTACACCAAAAACCCCAAAAATCAGAGTTCCAAACCTTATGCAAAATTAAAGAAAACTGCGAATTTCCATCCAAGTATTGCAATTTGCACTCTTTAGAAAAAAGTTAAGTACTCAGTTATTAGCCCATTCAATTTTAGTATAACAAAGTGCAAGTTTGAGGTAGCTAGGACTTACCATTGATATTTAGCAATTTTTTTTTTGTTGTTTGGTAAGTCCTAGCTTCCTCACACTTGCACTTCATTATACTAAAATTGAATGGGCTAAAAAACTTTTTCTAGAGAGCGTAAATAGAAAGTGAATTATTTTAATGAAATTTTGCAGAATTTTCTTAAATTTTGCACAAGGTTTGGGACTCTGATTTTTGGGGATTTTGTTGTAGAATTGACCATATTTTTATAAAAAATTACCGAAAACTAAAATATTTAAAAAATAGTTGCCCGTATTGTAAAAAATTCGTTGTACCTAAACTTTATTGACTGACTGTATTAAGGTAGCTGTGGTGGATTGCAAAAAAAAAATTAATTTGTCTTTTCTTAAAAAAAAGGTAGCTCTGGTGGCTTGCATTTTTAAATAAATTTAGTGAGAAAGGGGTAATTATTTTGACACTTTTTTTTTAAATGCCTCTTTTTCTGCAACTGCATTGCCTTTCTCAATTGTCCTTCAGGATCTTGGCCTTTGTTTATGGAATCACTAAGTATAATGATTATTAAGCAACTCAAAAACTATACCAGCGTGATTACCGACGTATCCTTTTGAGAGGTAGCCGCACCCTTATAAGAGGAATAAGACCCAAACTTTTAAGGTCAAAATTTCAGTAGGTTGCGTATGTATGGCCTTTTCAATTTTATAAATTATCATTATTTTTAAGTGGAAAAATAAAACTCAAAGTTAATGATAATCTCTGCGCGAAAAAATAAAAATCATAAAATAATCATTATTTGTAATCCCAAAAATAAAAATCAAATAATAATTATTTCCGTTTGAGCGAAAAAATAAAACTCAATAATAATTCATAACATAATTATTAAATGCTGATTTAAATAATTTTTCTCATAATGATTACCTTCCCTGCGTTTAAAATTTGAAATAAAATAGTTTAGTGAAAGTACCACATTTCATTGCATTTGGACTGGTGCGTGACTAGTTACTATCGGACTGGTTCGTTTTTGGCGAAAAAGAACTAGTACTGAACTAGAAATTTGGTTCAGTAGTTCGTGTTTTCCCTACAGGGAAGGATGAAGGATGTTATTTTAAGATGCTACGAATTGAATTGGATTGCATTTTATAAGAGTGTTGAAAGATCTCGCTATTTACACTGTTGTTTTTGTAAATTTTTTCTTTTCCTCTTGATTAAAAAAACATATATCAAGCTTTTTTAATGATTCAATAATACAAGGTTATGTAATTTCTCCAAGCTCAAATTTTTCACTCCTTTAAATAGATTTTGTATTTTGGAAGTAGGAGAGAGGGGAAGAATGTGATCGCTTTTTGCGAAAACGCTAGGTAAAAAAGTAACCAAAGTATGCAATCAAAAGTAAAATATGTATTATTAATTCTATGCGAATTTGCAATATATTTGATGTTTGAATG